GGGGGGGGGGAATTGCTCGTAGCACCTGTCTCTCCTTCTCAAGTCGTGTCTCTGAACGTCCTTGGAACAAAACCTATTGCAACAGACTTGATCTCTTTTTTACACACACCAGAAAAAAAAAGGGGGGGGGGAAGAGGAGAGGCCGAGTTGAAGCAACAGTGCAAAACCGAGGTGAGGATTGCAAATGGCTTTGGGGGGGGGTAATCACCCAAATAAAAAGGCGCTCGGCCATCCCTGCCCGCAATCCCTTGAACGTGGGGAAATGAGGGGATGTGGGAACGGAGGAGGTAAAAGCGAGTTGGAATTAGCAATTGAATTTGGAATTCCAAAACTTCCTGGAATAGAGTGGGATAGCGCTGGAAGGGACCTTGGAGGTCTTCTAGTCCAGCCCCTTGCTGAAGAAAAGAGACCCGATACCGATTCAGGTCAGGGGCTTCCACTGGTTAACTCAGGAAGTTTCTCCTTCCTTCCAGGTTGCTTCTCTTTGGGGTTAGTTTCCGTCCGCGGTTTCTTGTCCTGCCCTCTGGTGCTTTGGAGAATAACTGGACGCCCCCGGGTCTTTGGGGCAGCCCCTCAAATACTGGGAAGGCTGCTGGATTCGGGTTAGGCCTGCTTTGCTTAGGTTGGAAAGAACGGGAACGCAAAAGGTGAGAGGGAAAAGTCACTCCGCCTTTCCTCAGCGTGCCCAGGTTTCCACGTTCAGTAGGGCAGGGCTGGGCACCTATGATAGCCCCGTTACAACCTGTGGAATTCAACTTTGAAGTCCATATGTTGTCAAGGGGCCATTGTTGCACCCCCTCCCCCGGTGTAGTGGCTTGGACTAGATGACCTCCACGGCCCCTTTCGACTCTTCCATGGATCCTGGCTGGATCTACAGAGAGCTGCCAATTGACGAAGGCAAATGGAGGGTCTGCCTTCGTTCAGAACTGCTTCCTATGATCCCAGGTTACTGGAACTTGTTTTCAACCATCCATCTGCCCGTTGCCTTGTCCAGCAGTTCTCAGCCGGTGGTCCGTGGACCCCTGGACGGCCACGATGTCACAAGGGGATCCGCAAAGGCTTGAAAAAAATATTCAGATTTAAATTTTGAGTTACGTCTCGTGGGTCCGTGGCCGTGACCTGTAGCCACCAAAGGGGGCCTCTGTGGTGAAGAAAACGTTGGGAGCCACTGGTCTGGCCCAATGTCTATGGAGAAATTCCCAGTCACCCAGGTCCCAGGTTGTCCCAAAGGGGCTTTTTTCACGAGGAAGGGTAGACTTTTTGATTTTTCTTTGAAGACACTTCGCTTCCCTTCCGAGAAAAAAAAAGCCAGACAGTCCAGTTCACCTCTTGGGAAAGTACCTTTGGGTCTAACCCAACGTTTCTCAAACTCAGGCGTTTTAAGAGACGGGGACTTCAGCTCCCAGAATTCCCTAGCCAGCCTTTCCCATCCAGATTCCATGTTGGCTGGGGGATTCTGGGAGCTGAAGTCCACACCTCTTAAAATTGCCAGATTGGTAAACCAGGCTGCTTGAGTTGACTCCATCACCTGGGCTGACCTTTCACCTGGCCATCTCCTCTTTACGCCCCCACCTCCGAGGTTCTCCCCCAGGGCAGCCCCCACATCAGTATCCCTCCCTCTGGGAGAGCCTGACCGGTGGTCCTACTTTGACATCTGCCACAGACACAAAAACCAGCCCGGACTCAACTTAGGAGTGATTTCACAAGTGGATTTACACCGGAAAGCCCTGCAGTCTGCGAGGTTCTTGGACCGGAGTTTGCAAAACGCTTAGAGAGGAACGAAGTAGCCCGTCTTACAAGGAAGTGGTGAAGAGGAAAAGAACGGAGCAGGAGGCCCATCAGACCTAAAAGGACAATACGGAACCACAGACATCGCAAGATGACATTGTCGGTATCGCTTAAACCTGGTGAGATGGAAATCGCCCCTGGAGTCAAATAGTAGAAGGATATAATCTGTAAGTGGGGGAGGGGGGGTGGCATAATAAGATCCCTTGCCTTGAGCAGGGGGTTAGACTAGGAGACCTCCAAGGGTCCCATCCAGCCCTATGCGGAAAATGGTTCACAGCCACCAAGGTCATCCATCAAAACTGTGGGGATTAACGGGGGGGGGGGGAAACACCCAACGGCGACACTGTTTTGAAGGCCCACCGCAGGTCGCCTGACCAAGCAGAGGCTCTGGTGAGACTGTCACAAATGTGACGGCTAAGGGTGCTCGAGAGAGAAACCAGTACGGCAACAGGAGGCTGACTTCGAACTGGAAGCCGGTTGCATAAACAGCTTTCTGATAAACCGAGAAGCAAAAAGCAGAGGGTTTTTTTTTTTTAAAAAAAGGAGGAGCACTAACAGACATCTGGAAATAGGCCAAGATGGGGCCAGGAAGACTAAGGCCTAACTTGACTCACAACAAATACAACGCTGGTGGGATTCAAATATTTTTACCGCCGATTCAGTGGGCGCGGCTTGGTGGGTGGCGCACTTGGCGCACCCTTTGCATCCGTGCGCACACCGAACGCGCCCTTTGCGCAGGCGCAGAGGTCTTCTAAGTCACCTCCAGCGAGCCTGTACTCTCCCGGTCGCTTCGGCAGCTGCCGCGCAGCACTCTGCTTATGCTCCTTGAGATCTACGGTTGGGTTGGCTCCATCGCCTGAGCTGGTCTTTCCTTTGGCCGTCTCACCTCTGCTGTGCCGCGCAAAGCAGCTGCGCTTCAGAAGCCGCGACTAAAGGTGAGGGTGGCAGCCTGGGTGGGCAGGTGGGCCCAGTTCGGTCTCCGCAGCCAGAGGTCCGGCTGCGCTGCCTTAATTCAAGTCCGCCTGGCCAAAGGAGGTCACATCACAGAGGACGAAAGAGTCCTGGGAGCCAGCAGCCGTCATTTGGGGGAACTCAATTGAGGGGAGACATGCAACTTCCTTCCTGTCTTTCTAAAAGGGACCCAGGAAACTCCAGACTGGCATAAGTGACGGCGATGCCTGGGAAAATTGGGGGAATGCTCAACCAGTCAGCCTGGAAGCACTGAGAAAGGAAGGTTGTTAAAAATAACACGTGCCACGTTAATCTTGCTGCTTAACGGATCATCAGAGCTGGAAGGGACCTTGTAGGTCATCTAGTCCAACCCCACGCCCAAGCAGGAGACCCTACACCACTTCTGACAAACGGCGGTCCAATTTCTGCTTGAAAGTCTCAAGCGATGGCTTCCTTTGCCTTTGATTCGATTTGCAAGATGAAGGCACGGGGTGAAGATCGTGAACTTGGACTTCAGGAAGGCATTTGAGGGGATTGACCAAGCCTCCTCCTCTGTGCTAAGACGGAGTAAGGTGGGGTGGACGGGGCCACCAGGGATACACAGTGGGGTTGAAGACCCGTAGCCAGTACAGGAAGCGCTCCATAGATCTCTCTGAGCATGGGCAGAAATGGAAAGACGCATCAATCCCCGGCATGGAAGAATGGATGGGAAAAGGGATGGAGCTAGCAGCGACGGCCACCTGGACTCTTTCAGTTAGAAAGTATTATATTAGACTGTATTATATATTCTATTATTAGTTTAGATTAGATTAACGTATTATGTTAGATTAGGTTAATATATATTCTATTATTAGAGATTCAGTTTTGTTCCTGTGTGGAAACCGCTTCTGGACTTTGTGCTGGAGAGGGAGAAAAGCAAAAAAAAGTCTTGACTTTGGGTTTTGCCGATTAATAGATTTTGCTTGTCACAGAAACAGCCGGCCTTGTCAAGATGACGAAAACTTGTCATAGTCGTCCAGCTCGCTCTAAAGGAATGAATTTTGGATTTCCAAACGCACCCCATGGACCGAGGCTGCCACAATTGCTACGGATGGCTCTTTCCTAAAGCCAACGGCTTGTCATCGGTAGATCCACAGGGCTCGATCTCAGCCTGGCTGCCTATCTGAAGTTTAGGGGCATAAAAAGATCCTCAGGCGGCTTCCGGTTGGCACTCCCTCGTTTCCTCTTTGTCCCGCGTTCGCTTTCATTCTTGCAGTGGCCTCTTCTCTTCCTTGCCTCAGAACAGGAAAGACACACCACAGACCAAACTCGAGAAACTGCCGAGTTCTGCTAAGCGTCACACGTTGGCCTCCTTTTCCAGCGCCTTGGTGCACCACAGGCCGAGCCAGGCGTCCGTTCCCTCCCCGCCTGGCTGCTGCTGACACCAACCCTCAGGCGCACGGAGCGCATGACGGGCGATAAGGCGAGGTCATCTCCACTTCCTGGCCTGACTGACGTTTCAGCCAGGGTGGAAACCAACCCAGAAGCCCTGCTGAAAAGTTGGCACACCTCCTGCAGGCCCGGGGTGGGGTGGGGTGGGGGGGCTCTAATTGCTCAGGCTGATTTCCAAAGAGGCACAAATGTTTGCAAGGACACGCTGCTTTCTCTTGCCAAAGTTTGCCCACACACGCGAAGCAATTCACAACATGCTTGCAACGGCCACCCGTCTGTT